AGCCTTGTACTCTTCTAGGTTAAAAAAAACTTGTCCATAAAATGCGTTGCACAAGTTCGAACATCTGGGTTGTGCTGTTCTGTTGTAAATAAATCTTAACCAATGATTCCTAATTGCATCTACTTCCGGAAGGCCAAATAAAGTGCTTTTGCTTTCGCACTGAAATACACACTGTCTCCCTGACATGACTGCATAAACACTACTGCGGTTCCTGAAACCACGCCTTCTTTCTTTGCGTGCACATTTGGGCGGCATTATGCTAATATTTCCACATAGTGATGTAGATATGTGGGGGCGTGTTAGAACGAGCCGTTTTAGGTAGGCGTGGTTGACTCTTAACTTTTATAAAGAATATCTCTTTGGATTTGAGACTTAAGTCTTTGCAACTTTACAGATCTTCTTTATGCACCAAGAGCTTGTAACACTCCAAAGAGAAAGGAAAACTTGAAATCGCATCATATGACCCCTTTAAATCAGCATGCTGGTTTACTGTTTATAGCCGAACTTGCCATAAAACTATCCTTGACTGGTTTTAGCTCTTTTCGTTTTTGTTTTTTCAGTAGGCTAGCTAGCCTACTCTTTGAAAGTCATGAGACAATTTACTTAATTTAACAATACTTCTTAGTGAACATTAATTATTCATTAAACAGTTTGTCCTACGGTTAAGGAATTATTAAACCGTTTTCCCTGACCTTAAGCTATTCTTAAATTATCAAAAGTCGCGCCAGAGAGAATTCAATAGATCGATTATCTCTTGATCGACTGTACTCATATTTTACAATATAAATAAACATTAAATATATACATTTACTTCATATTTTGTACATTTATATTATTTAATGCCTTGGTAGCCTATCTTTTTTTCCCGCTAGGGTAAAAGTTGTCAGAAAACGAGTTAAAGTACAGAGCTTCTCTCTTTTCTTTTTTTTACCTCAGTAGATCGTTTGAATGAAACACTTGTCGTAGACATGAACAAGCTTATAAACATTTCAAAACGTGCTGTCTAACGTCGTGGCATGAAGTCTCTTCTCTCCTCGATGTTTTAACAGTGAAAGTTATCCAGTAATCTGTGACAGTGAACTTGACCTCAGTGTTGATAAAGTGCCTCAGGCGCTGACCAGATTCCACGCGCACCTGTCGACGCGACTCAAAACAAACCAGCCGCGCGAGACTCTGGAGACCGTCATGGAATAGTTTAAATCCCCTTTTCAACACTTCAAACTTTAGATTTTGTCTCATGAGATACTGGAAAATGATCTCTTTCAGGACCCTACGACTGACTAATGTCGGAGTTATTGGCTTACTGGCGAAAGACATCGCAAGAAGCAGCTCAGCGTGTCAGAATGCGTCGCGAAGGTCGTTCAGTTTCTCTTCGCGGATTCACGCGAGTCAAGAATTTATCGCTCCTGCATCCGCGGATCAACCTAAATCGAAAAAGTGAGTCACTTGTAGATTAAATAAAATAGTATATAAAAATAGTGATGCATAATAAAATGTTTGATAAAAATGCTAATAAACTGAAATACCTGAAATACAATATGTTTGGTGTTAGCATGTGTCTAATTTTGTTTTATTAAAACAGACAAGAGACCAATAAAGGTCTGTTCTCTGGACTAGAGGACATGCTTTTCTACACTATAACTGAAGGAGCAGAGAAAGTTCCTGTGTCTCATTTCATTGCTGTGAGTTTTTACTTTTTCATTTACATATAAACACATAATCATATACACAAAAGTTTTAACTAGATTTTAAAATCTTTGCACAAGCAGTTTTCCAAGTCTGCTAACTGTATAATATCACTGTATATGGACAACAGCTGGGAGCTGCTACATTTATTTAGTTGCATGCTATTGGCTCAGTTACTATCAACCCCCTACATGTTTCCTGAAATCTGATTCGTTCATGGGAAGTCTGGGCCAAAACACACAAAAGTTTATCCAGATTTTGTGGAATTGGTTTGTTGAAATGTTTGTGCAACAAATGCATTGCACAGTGGCATCACATAAAGTAAACTGAATGATTGTGAAAAGACAGAACAGTATTTTCCCCATCTTACAGGCAGTAAAAAGCACCGGCCTTCTGACCTCTGACCCCAGATTGCGTGACTGCATGGAAAAGATTCGCAAAGCTGTCCAGGAATCAGCCGGTGAAGTCATGATGGACCGTGAGCTGTTCCGAAAGTGAGTATCCGGTGAGGTTGGACAATACAGATTTGCAAACGTCCCGCAGAAAAGGAATATCTGGTAGTTTACTAATTGTGAAAATTTCTAATATCGTGACAGGTGTGTGGGTGGCAACATAGTTCTGCTGAGTCTCGCTTTCAGAGGGAAGTTTATCATTCCAGAATTTGAGGCATTTGTGGGTGTCATAAATGATATTTACTACACATCAAAACTGCAACATGATGGACAGGTAGGGATGTTTTTAATCCATTTCCCTCACTTATTTGTATAGCTACCTATATAATCTTATAATCTTTTTTTAGGTTGCAAAATACATTCCCCATCTGACCAAGTTTAGTCCTGATCTTTGGGGTGTTTCTCTCTGCACAGTGGATGGACAAAGGTGAATATATTAATCTGACACCAACTTTTCTAAAATATGAAATTATGGTTTTTAAATCACCTCTTTGATTACAGGCACTCAGTGGGAGACACAAAGGTGCCGTTCTGCTTGCAGTCATGCGTAAAGCCGCTTGAATACGCCATCGCTGTACACGAACACGGCACGGAGGGTGTTCACCACTACGTCGGGAAGGAGCCCAGCGGATTCAAATTCAACAAACTCTCCTTAGATGAAGAAAGTGGGTGGGAAAATGTCATAGATTATCATTATCAAATGAGTTATCTAGAATGTCTTATTTGTTTTTGCTAGACAGAACTTTTCTGTACTGAGAATAATCTTATTAGAAGGAAATGATCAAAATAAATTGATTATTATAATATATTTAAAGATCAATAATTACTACAAAAATAACAATAATTGAATTAATTAATTGAGCTGACTGGTTTTCTGTTCTTAGATAAACCTCACAATCCCATGGTCAATGCTGGAGCAATTGTCATCAGTTCACTTATCAAGGTAAACAAATACAAAAACTAATATTTTTGGGGGAAATTGTATATAAATATTTTCTGCTGATTTTTTTGGTGTCAGGTAGGTTTACTGTTAACAGTATTTGCTTGTTTGTCTTATAATCAGCTCTGCATGACTCCCAAACAAACAATGATATACGCACATGTATTGACATGTGGACAGGGCCAAGAATGAATTTGATCTAACAAACCTTTTACCCAGAATTCAGCTCTGTGTGGACAGACCCAGTGCATCTGCTACACGTGTAACAGACTGACCTTGTGAAGCTATGAGTAGGAGTATTACTGGTCTGGACTAAATCCAGTCTATTAAAAGTGCCCTTTACACTAGATGTATGTGACTTGTGCTTTCTAGGTTCCCAGAGTCTTCAGTACAATCTAGAAAACATAAAAATCATGAGTTTTGATGAAATCTTACTGTTGTTTTTCTACAGCCAGGTGTCAACAAGGCCGAGAAGTTTGACTATGTAAGTTATAACCTGTTGAATGTAGCCATTTAAAAAAAAAAAAAGAAGATAAATCAACCTTAATGTTGTTCCGAACTTCTATGATTATTTATCCCTTTAATGCGGCAAAAAGTAGATAATTAGCTAAATGAAAGTAAGGCTATTAAACTCCAAAAGGATAAACAAGTAGTGCATACGGCTTTTCAGGTATATTACAAAGTCATACAGTAGCTTTGTTTTAGGTAAAGACTGAAATTATTGTTATTTCTTGAAAATATAGTCTTTTTAGGCATCTATAAAGTGTATGTTCTATAAAATGACTTTTTATTGGCTGTTTTCCTTTTATTTTGATGTGTAAATATGAAATATTTGTACATAATTTGTGTTATATATTGTAGTTTGACATATCATCTTAGAAACTGCCTTGGTTATACAGTGTAGAGTGTACAGTATTTGTGACTAATAAACAAAACCAACCATGCCAACAGAATCTTATGCTGATAAGATTCTCTTACAGATCCTTATTATGTATCCACACTATAGATTTTTAAAAAGAGGTTATAATAAGGCCTTCTATATGTAAAACATAAATCTATAACACAACAAGAATCTAGAACAGCCTCGCAACCACAAAAAGTATACAAATAAATAAATCAAACCAGATTCAGAAGACCTTAGCAACTGCATAGTAGCGCTATTATGATGACAAATGTTGCTGAGCAGCCTGTATTTTAGTACATCATCAAGGTGGATCTGATTAAAACAGATCTATTGATATAGCCCAGGCCTAGTACACTTGCAACTGTAAATGAAACGTGCACTATCCCTTACCAAAAAGTAGTATACTTCAAGTTTATTTTATTAAGTATACTTAAGTATATTTTTAAGTATACTTTATGTAGTAAGTATACAAATATCAGTGTACTAGTAGTATACTTGTAAGTGTACTATTTCAATAGTCATTGGGACTAAATTGGCCCACTTTCTAGTATATAAAAGTATACTTTTAAGTATACTTTAAATCACATATATGTTGCGTCTAGTCTTGCTCTTCATTTGTGTTGAAGGTAAGATTTGTATCGCTACTTATTTGATTCATGTGTTTTTGTAAATGTTTGGTGGGATTTTTTTATCTTTTCAGAGGTTTTCAAAGAGTCACTGAGCATCAGTGCTTGTCACTAGCTTAATAATCCAGTATCAGTTTGCCTGTTTGACTGATATGTGCCAAAACACATATTGTTTAACTCTAATTGAATAAAACTCATCTAATCATTATAGAGACATTCATGGGCCAATAACCAACAATGGAAACCGCATCATGTCATGTGCTTAATGTTTAAAACATAAATATGCTAAATAATAAATTTAGTTTTTAAGGTTTTTCAAGATCTCTCAGCCAAAGATGTTCTTATGAATGTGTTTCAGGTGTGTTTGCTGGTGATACAGATGTAATGAAGTCAGTATCAGTGACTGAGGGAGATTCTGTCACTCTAAACACTAATGTTACTGAAGTACAGAGAGATGAGCAGATACTGTGGATGTTTGGACCTAAAGAGACTCGTATAGCTGAACTCTATAAACGCAGCATTGATATGTTTAGCAGTGATGTGACATTTGGAGACAGACTGCAGTTGGACTCTTTCACTGGATCTCTGACCATCAGAAACCTCAGAAGCACAGACGCTGGACTTTATAAACGACAGATCCGGAGCGACAGAGGGAACTCGGACAAGACATTCGATGTTACTGTCTATGGTAAGACAAATATGACTTAGAATATGTATAAATTGATATGAAGCTTATTATTGGACTGGTAGTGAATCAGGAATATGACAGCTCTAAAAATTAAGTTTTGCTAAAAATGAAATGTATATTTCCCAACCATTTGATTTTTTTCACCAGTAAACTATAAACCATTGCCCTTTCTTAATACTGAATGAATTAATCTTTTTTAAATGAATATTTAATGCAGACTTTATTATCTATGCTTTCTGTTTCTGTTTTTGTAATGTGGACTTAATCCATGGTGATAATGTTGTGTAGCTCAATTCTGATTTCCATGTTTTGGATGTTTTTTATTATTGCTCTGTTTCATCTGCATTTAGATCCTGCTGTCCCTAATGTCTGAAATTGCCCACATGCCCACAATATGCTTATTTAATGTACATGTTTTTTCAGCTCGTCTGCCTGTTCCTGTCATCACCAGTAACTCTTCAAACTCTTTTTCACCATCATCATCATCAGGATCATCAGTTTCCAGATGTTCACTGCTGTGTTCAGCTGTGAATGTGAGTGATGTGACTCTCTCCTGGTACAAAGGAAACAGTTTATTGTCCAGCATCAGTGTGTCTGATCTCAGCATCAGTCTCTCTCTACCTCTGGAGGTGGAATATCAGGATAAAAACAGCTACAGCTGTGTGCTTAACAATCCCATCAGCAACCAGACCACACATCTGGACATCAGTGAGCTCTGTCAGCCATGTTCAGGTATGGCAGTGCTGATATTTTAGTACACATTTACTAACATCAATGACTCTCTTTTACTCTGCTTCTCCTCCTCCAGACTCCCTGATAGTGTTGATCTCTGCTGCTGCTGCTGCTGGATCTCTGTTGATTGT